CCCCTTCCCTAGCGCTCTACCCGCCGCTCCGCTCGGCTGACTCAGGATCCGACGAGAGAAGCTTCGCCACCACCATTCTCGCCTCAGTCGGAAGACTTGTCGCCAGCGTTATAAGCTGAAAGCAAGCACTTTTCTGTCTCTGAAAGCCCCTTGGAAAGCCCAGTGGTGAGGGAGCTGGGGTCCTGCCTGGCCTCCCGGTCACAGCCATGCAAAACCAGGCCGAGGGCTGTGGCAGCCAGGGCAGCCCGGCTCCGCGCTCCCACCCGCGGTCAGCAAGACCGGGGCTGAAGGCAGAGGGCACGCCCTGGAAAGAATGTGGCTGGGAGCGGAAACTGGGAAGAGACGCAGGTGCAGCCCTGAGACACGAGAGTGGGAGCTTCAGTACAACAGACGTGCCGCCGCCTGCACCCAGGGCCCACGCCCACTGGACGGCACAGGCCGCTGGCCAGCTGGGAAAACAAGAAGGGGCCGGGAAGGGGAAGGCACCTGGGGGCCCTCAGGGGTCAGTGAGCGCAGCGCGGCTCTTCCTGCGCTTGCAGCTGCTGAGCCCTGGCACACGTAAACCCAAAACGTATGCCCACGTACGCATCTCCGGTTTGTCTAACAGGTGGGGCAGGGGAAGCGCGCGGGCCACTCCTTCCCGCCTGCGTCCGGGCGTCCAGTGGTCAGCACACAGCTTCCAGGCCATCGTGCGGCTCCACTCTCCCGCCACAGAGGATGCGTGTGGAGAGGTTGCATGGGCTGGGCTGGGCCGGGCCTGAAATGCACGCCCTTCGCAGCCCTGCACTTGGTCAGCAAGAGCTGTCGGATGGCAGCCCTGCCGCGGGAAGTTGGCTGAGCCTCCAGTAGCGTGCTTCAGAAGGGGTGAGTTAACGTGGAAGATACTTACAACACAATTGTAGCTTTGTACCCCAAAATACATGCTGGAGACAATGTGGGGGAAAGAAGTCTTTACACCCTGTTGGGAATGTAAGGTACTAGCCACGAGGGGAACCAGTAGGAAGGCTGCTCAAGAAAACTGGAAATAGAGCTACTATATGGTACAGCTACCCCACTTCTGGGTGTAAACCCAAAGAAATGAAGTCAGCACCGCAGGAGGTAGCTGCACACCCCTGCGTATTGTGGCACTCTTCACAATAGCTCAGTCAGAATCTGCCTACATGCTCATCAACACATGAATGAAGAAAATATATATACATACAATGGGGTATTATTCAGCCATAAAAAATGAAATTATGTCATTTGCAGCCAGAAGGATGGAACTGGAGTTGTCATGTTAAACAAAATAAGGCAGACATAGAATTACAAGTACCACATATTCTCTTGTGTAAACAAAATAAAAACCTGAAAAACAGTAACCTCTAGGCATAGGGGCAAGGGGACAGTGAGGTTGGAAGGGTGGAGCAAATGACATGATTTCATTTTTTATGGCTGAATAATACTCCATTGCAGGTATATATACTGTTACAAGAGCACACTGAGTCTACTTATGTACCAATCTTATTTATAGCAAAATTTTTCCAGTATTTGGTAAGAGTTATTTTATAGGGGATACTTGAAACCAGTATTTAAGCTTTAAATGATGGTAATATTGGCATAGAAAAAGGTAGCAAATGGATGAGGATGGAAGGGTGCAGCAAATGACATGATTTCAGTTTTCATACTGTTCCCCAGCAGTTAGTACCTTACATTCCCAGCAGGGTGTAAAGACTCCTCTCCCCCACATTCTCTCCAGAATGTATTTTGGGGTACACAGCTGCAATTGTGTTGTAAGTATCTTCCATGTTAACTCACCCTTTCTGTAGCACTCTACCCAAGTAGCCAATGCACACTCCACACAAGCGTGGAAATACCACACTTAGCCCCATTCATACGTATAATTAACATGTGCTGTTTTTTTAAAGAATGGTACCAGAATAGTCAGAAGCTTTGCACAGTTAGAAACATAATTTCATCCTAAAATCAAAACGTTGAGCCCGGTGTGGTGGTGCACACCTGTAATCCCAGCACTGGGGAGGCTGGGGCAGGAGGATCATTGCAAGTTCAAGACCAGCCTGGGCTACAGAGTGAGTTCAAGGCCAGCCTGAACTGCATAGTGAGACCCTGTCTCAAAAAGACAAAAACCTTTGGCAGATGTCATTAGTATAGATGATCTGCATGGTGATGAACAGGAGACAATGGGTGTTGAGATCAGATTCTTAGGAGGCGGGTGCCTGTGATCGAACTCGGGACCGTGCGCCTGGTGCTGTACCGCTGAGCTACATCCCTGTCCCCAGAGGTCAGATTCTCACACCTGTGATTCCAGATCACCTGCCAGATCTGGCTTAAAAATGACTCATTGTCTAAATGTATTGTGATTATAAACAAGAGATTAGAACAGTTTACCACAGCTGGGTTCCACTAACAGATGCCTTGGGATGAAAGTGTACCGCTTTTCCTTCATTGAGAAATATTCGAGCAAGGGGCGGGGATATAGCTCAGGGGCATAAGTGCCTGCCTGGCAAGCACAAGGTCCTGAGTTCTATTCCCCGGTACCAAAACAACAACAACAAAGAAAAAAAATCATAAATATTCGATCTACCTTGTTATGGTGGACATAAACATGATAAAGTATAAGCCAGACTGAATAAAATTTTAAAGCCAACAAAATTTTAATGTGCCAATTTGGGAATGCATTTCAGTGAGAGTAACCAAAATCCAACGAAATGAACTTAAATGAGATTTACTTTTCCGAGGAAAACAAGTTCAGAAGGCTGTCACTAGGGTTGATTCTCCTGCACACAGCAGTCAACCGCTCTGTAAATATCCTGGTCTTTCCTTCCCGGCCGGGAAGTGGTTGTAGCGGCTCCACCTAGTACATCCGTATTTCAGAAAGAAAGTAGCAGTATGGGATAGGTTCAGAGAAAGGTCCATCGGTGCCACAATCTTTCTGAACCGGAAGCATCTGATTTTTGTAACTGTTGAGGACGTCTACAGAAATATTTTATTCGTTCACCCAGAAGGACCCAGATTCCAAAGGCAAAGCTCAGCAAACCCTCAGGCCAAGGGCAAAGCGTGCTCGACTGGTGAGCACACGAGGCGCGCTCAGGATGCGGCCCGGCGCGGGCAGCCCCGGGCGGGAGAGGCGAGTACCTCCACTGCGACTGCGCAGAGAAGAGACCGCAGCAACGGCGATCACCCCAGGCCTGGCTTCCCAGGTTGTGTCTGGACTCAGATGCGTCATCCTCCTCTTTAAGAAAGGAAACAAGCTCAAGGGGCTCGTCACTGGCCCCAGGTCGCCCCAACGACCAAGGTCAGGGATCTGCTCCAGGTCTGCCTGGCCCGGCCCACAGCTCCAGGGCCGCCCTAGCTGTTTCCGGGAAGATGCAAAGGGGCCTTGCTACATGGTCCATGTCCTTCTGCTATACCTGCCGCGTGCTGTCGGCAGGCTCACCTGCACAGCTGGCCGCCGGCCTCAAGCTGTCCCAGCCCCACCTGCCAGTTCCATAGAAGCCCCAGCTTTTAGGAACTCGGGGTTACCCCAGTCAGTTACAGTGCAATGTATCTAATTAGCGCTTCTTCATTCTGGTCTGTCCTAAAGATATGCATCAGCCAGGCTTGGTGACGCAGGCCTGTAATCCCAATACTCAGGAGGCTGAGGCAGGAGGATTGCCATGAGTTCAAGGCCAGCCTGGGCTACACAGTGAACTCAAGCCCAGCCTGAACTACACAGCAAGACCAGTGGGATGACAGTCTTCTGGCAGAACTTTCAGGCCCTCACATCGGTTTGTGTTTCTGTCTTAAAGATGGCAGACTTGTCCTTCATCCAGGTAAATACCAACCCTAACACTTAAGCTTTCAGAACAGAGGGCTGAATTTCACCATTTGGCTTTAGATGTCCATAGAAGTGATTTAGAAATTTATTTTTCATGGATTCTTTAAGGTTCATGGTAATGTTCATTTTGGACCTGAAAACCACTTCCCTTCCTCCTTTTATTCCCCCAGTACTAGAGATTGACCTTGGGCACACTGAGCTATATCTCCAGCCCCTTTATTTTGAGGTAAGATCTCAGAGTTGCCCAGAATGGCCTCAAACATGGAATCCTCCTGCCTCAGCCTCCTAATTAGCTGAGACTGTGGACATGGGAGACCACACCCAGCTCTCTTTTAACTTACAACTCTGCTAACCATATCTTTGCAGTGCTCTGTTCCCCTGAGGGCAGGTACCCGCCCTGCCTGTGAGCCTGCACGGAGCACCAACACGCTCCCCGGACCCAAGTCCCCAGATGGGTAATGGGCGGCCACACACTCGGGGACTCAACAGTTATGCCACAGATGGGCTCGCACGCCTTCTGTACAGAATCCTACAGCCTGATGGGGCCTGTCTTCACAGCCACAAAGACTTTCTGAATTTCAAAATTTCCATGCTAACCCCTATCAGCAGACTCACCCACAGGCATTGGGAATGCTTACGAAATCGAGTGGTAAAGCATTCAGTCACAGGTTGTACACTGTTTTACAAGTAAAACTAGAAACAAATGGAACAAAAGGAGTCCTAATAAAAACACATTATATAGGAAAGCATGTGATAAAGGTGGCATTTCTATCAGTAAAGATGAAGGATAGTTAGGGTTTGTATCTAGTTGTCACCCCAAAGCCTCGTGTGTTCATAGGTGGGGCTGGGGTGAGGTGACAGGGTCATGAGTGTGTGATACTCCTCGGTGGATGAGTCTCCTGATGAGTTAGTTTGTGGCTAAAGGTGACGCTGGGAGGGAAAGCCTGGCAGGAAGAGGTGGGGCGGTCGGGGCGCGGCCTGGAAGGGTCTGTCTCCCTCCTCCTCCTTGGATCCCTCTCTGCTTCCCCCACCGCACCATGAGCAGCTCTCTACCAGGCCCGCTGCCATGCTGTCCAGCCTCGGTGTCAGCTGACTATGGACTGGCCCTTCTACCAACTCAAGCCAAAATAAACCTCTGTTCCTTTAACTTGTGGGGGTCAGGTATTTTGTCCCAGCAACAAGAAAATGACTAACACAATGATTAAATATATAATCTTGGAATACTTAAGCATAAAAAAATTAGATTTTTAACATGCCAAAAACTGAATTTAAAAATAGGATAAATATGTACATCCTCCGACCATCAAAGTAGTAGAAAAATATAGGGGACGGTATCTTTAATGATGTCAGCATGGAGAAAGACGGGCTTACCTACTGCAGGCTCTGTTATGCACACACTGCAGTGCATAAACATGTTATGTCCCCACATGGACTCCTGAAAAGGAGCCAAGTACCTCTTCACTGAGTCATGTGCCACACAAAACATATAAATATACTAACATTTAGAATGTTCAAACATTTTAAAAGATGAATAGAGCTGAATGTGTGAAAATTATAACACTGTGTACATTATAGAAAGGAGATAAAAGACCGTAAGTAAAGTGCTGGCCACACGTGGAGCAAACGCACCGTCACCACCCGGATGTGGTATACCGACAAAGCGAACAGCGCGGTGCAGACGCAGGCAGAGGGCACAAACGGGAAAGACCGTCAGTGCTGTGTGCGTGCGCAAGTGGGAAAACGAGCTTCAAGGGAGATGTTTCCACACACAGTTCAACGTGGCCAGCACGCGTCCCTGGTCCGGCGAGGCTGCGGAGCAGGCCCTGCAGCGGGAGGGAGCCCGCCCTGGGCAGCTGGGCCGGCAAGGGGGCGGCAGTGCCGGACGTCTGCGAACACAGCCGGGTGCGTGGTGACACTTCCCGGGCTCCGCCACTGTACAGAGTGAGGTAGGTCAGCGGAGCCCCGGACAGAGTCTCTGCGATGTCACCCAGTGCCCTGCCAAGAGCGCGGGCAGGGTCAGGCTCACGTTCTTCAAAGGACTCGGTGTGCGCACAGAGAGCGGGACGCAGGTGGGTGCGTCAACCTCTAGGGAGTGAGATACAGGCTTTTGCTTTGTGCCCTCATGTTTCCTTTAACTTCCCTCTCAGCTTCTAGAGTTTCTGTAATCAGAAAAGCTATTCCAGCCCTTTGTAAGTAACAGCGTTTCAGAAAAGGGCCCCATTGTTCGGTAAGAGCTACAGTTTCCTCCTGAGCGCTCCAAGGACCGGCCCTGGCTCAGGAAGTGACAGGGACCCGGGCTGGGCTCAGCACTGCACCGCAGGCCACGTCTCCCTGAGTCCTGGCTCTTGCTGCACGCAAAGCCACAGAAGAGTGTCGCGCCTCTGGCACTGAGGTCCCGCCCCTTTGCGCACGCCCTGCTCCAGGAAGGCAGGAACACACGCAGTGACCCTATCGTGCGGGCCCCAAAGAGCCCCTTGAAGGAGAAGAAGACCTCAGACAGTGATGCTGCTGCAGCTCACAACCCGCACACAAATGCAAGCAAGTTTTCTAACACTGGATGCTTAAACATTCACAAGGCTCTGCCGAGGACGTCCAGGCAGCAGCTCCCACCGTCTTCCCTGGCTGCTCCGGAAGGCAGGGCCCTGTCTGGCCAGCAAGTCCACACTGTTCACAGGAAGTGAAGGGGCTGCTCGGCCCCAGAACCCCGTGGGGACCCCCTGGCCCCGATGGCCTAGGGGTTACCGCTGCTGCTTCATCTCCCGGCAAGAAAGCACGGGTCTCCTTGGATGTCCGCTCAGCTGGGGCTTCTGCGCAATCCCAGCTCTGCCCTCTGTGTTTGCTCTTCAGTCGCTCGTATACCTGATACACTGGGGATAAAACATGCACGATTAAAAACAGGGTCACCAAAGGCTAAATTCTTGTGCATCCTCAAGATGTCCATTTCCACCATGTATGTATAAACACACATGAAAAAGAAGCGGGGGAAGCTGTGAAACAAGGTGACCCAGGGTATCGGCGCAGTCCTTTCTCTGGAATTGAGACTCCCTCATCAGGGTGCTAAGCCCTCATTCATGTAGTCATTAGCAGGGCAATTGGCCAGCAAGCCCTGCAGAGTGCTTCCTGTGGGGCAGGCTGGCTCATGGGGACTAGGATATAGCTGAGAACAAGCTGGATGTGATGCTTCCCTAAACTCATGCCTACGACCAGGACTACTGTTCTGACAGTCCTCTTCCCCCATGGAAAACCACAGCCCCAGTTCTCCTTATATTGTCGTGTGTATTATATCAGGAATGAGAATGATCAGTAGTCAATAGGTAATCATTTGTATCAGTAGTCACTGAGCTTTACTCAGAGCCTCCACCTTGATAATGGGAAGGATTTACAGCAGCCCAAGACTAAGACATATGCATGTATCTATCCATGTGGGCTTTTTTCTTTGGTACCAGTAATTAAACTCAGGACCTTGCACTTGCCAGGCAGGCACTTGTGCCCCTGAGCTATATCCCCGGCCCTATCCATGTGGTTTTAAAACTTTACCTCTGTGCCAGGAGTGGTGGCACACTCTTGTAATCCCAGCACTCAGGAGGCTGAGGCAGGAGGATCCTTGTGAGTTCGACACCAGCCTGGGCTACAAAGTGAGCTCAAGGCCAGCCTGAACTGCATAGCGAGACCCCGTCTCAAAAAGACCAAAGAGAAAAAAAAAACTTTACATCTATGAACCTGCATAAATGATGGGCTATGGAGTAATTTTGTATTATTTGGCTGTATGGATAGGTAAACAACATCTGTCTGTGTGTAAAGGTATAAAATACCTTTAAATATATGTTTGGATATGTATTACATCTTCTATTTGAAAAACTTCACAGCCATTTAGCGTAAGCCCTATGATTTCCACATTGAAATATAAGTCTGCAAAAAACCCTGAAGTAATGTGGCATTTGGGGGACCTCAAGACTCCTAAAGAGACATAAGAAACCTATGTTTATAGTTTGGTAAATGTTTTCGAGGTCAGTGGAGGGCTTGTCCTCAAAGTCCTGGGATCTATTTTTTTTTTTTTTTTTTTGGTTTTTCTCTGGTACCGGGAACTGAACTCACGACGTTGCGCATGCCAGGCAGGCGCTTTTGCCGCTGAGCTAAATCCCCAGCCCCCAGTCCTGCAATCTAGGTTCTCACAAAGCATCAATTTTGATGAAGTGTATTTGTTTCTAATTGTAATCTCACATTCAAATGGTTTTCTTTGCTTTTTTTTGAGACAAGACTTCACTATGTAGTTCAGATTACCTTTGAACTCACTATGGAGTACAGGCTGGCCTTGAACTCACAGCAATCCTCCTGCCTCAGCCTCCCAAGTGCCAGATTACAGACATGTGCCACCATGCCCAGCTTCAAATGTTTTAAAAACATTTTTCCTAGAAAATTCCTACTATTTCAAAATATCTTTTTTATGTACTTTATTATCCCCAAATGTATCAGGCTAAAAATATATCACAGGGACAGTACAATAGAAGTTTGAATTTCTTTTTTTAAGTTGGTAAATTGAATGGACACAGTGAAAATTCACCCACCTGTAACAATGAGAAGTCCATCCAGCAGTTGGAAGAAGCCATAAGCCAGCGGGAAGTTAAACATCTGCACCAGGTCCTCAGCAGTGAATGATAGCTGAAGCATGGTGATACACATCTGGATGTTCTGAGCTCCGGTTTCTAGGGAAATTGTCCTGCACCTGGTAATGAAAAGGTTTGTTAGATGTCAGTAAGAAGGAAGTGAATTGCTGGGTTCACTCAATAATTATTTTCAGAGCACCTGCTCTGCAGGGAGGTCTCCAGAAAGGCACTGTGGAGTGGGACTTAGGAACCTGCGCTAGGAAGCACACACGCACACACACGCATACGAACACATGCACAGGAAAGGTTCAGTAACAACACAAGACAAAGTATAACCAGGGCCAGGCAGTTACTGCAAAAATTTAGACAAGTTGCAGAGTAGCTAGAAAAGCTTCACAGAGGAGCGAGGCTACCGACTGGACTTCAGGAGGCATTTAAGGTGGGGGAAATTACAGAAACTGGAGTTCCAGGGAGAAGCCAGGAGTGGTAGCGCACACCTGCAAAACCAACACTCAGGAGGCTGAGGCAGGAGGATCACGGTGAGTTCCAAGCCAGAGGGTACATAGTGAGACCCTGTCTCCAAAACCAAAAATAAATAAAAAGTAAAGCTCCGGGGAAAGGCAGGAGTGTGACTTAGTCAGGAGGCTTTGCAGTCACCCAGTCAGTCTGCACAAAGAGGGGCTCTGCAGGAGATGAAATGGACAGTTGAGTTCAGTACAAACTACACAACGCTAGACACGAACACAAAAGCCTTAAACAAAAGCCAAAGGTCAAAGATGGCAGTCTTCGGTGAAAGGATTTAGTGATAATTTCTTCTATATTTCTTGTTTTTCTGATTGCAGAAAGTGAAAAAGGAAAGAGAAGAGAAAAGCCAGGACGTGGGGGTTGGGTTAAGCTCACCCGTTTCTAGCTGGAAGGGAACCTGCAGGATTTCCCACAGGGAAATGGAGAGAGGAAAGGTGTCCCGAGCATGAACGTGGTGTGTGTGAGCTGGGCTGGATGTGGGACTAGAAACACAATCAGTGGTCGAAGGCAAGGTCTGTGGTCCACGTTTTATTTCTACTTGCTTATTCCTTGCTACCCTCTCCTCCTTCCTGCTTCTTCCAGTCAGTTGGCAATAACTCAGTATGACTGATCTTCAGTGCTGGAGCTCACACCTGCACCAGTCCTCAAACACTCTCTCAGCCTTCATGTCAGTCAAACAAGACTACTGAGTACACCTAGCCTTCACAGTACCCTCTTCTCTGCACTTAGTTATGAAATTCAGCCACTCAGGGACTGGGGATTAAGCTCAGCGGTGCAGCGCCTGCCTGGCAAGTGCAAGGTCATGAGTTCAATTCCCGGTACAGGAAAAAAACAAACAAACAAACAAAAAAAAATTCAGCCACTCAACTTTTGTGTTTCTAATTGTTGATTTTGGAAACAAACTGTTCCGGTTAAGCCTGACTAGGTTAAGAGACTCCTGGAAAAGTGAGTGGATCGTAGAGGTGCTGTGTGCATTGTTGCATTAACCCACTGTTCGTGGCTGGATGTGCTATCAGGAGGCGGGGCCCAGTTGTCGTGTACCTGTGGTGGTCTGTCTCCTGTATGTGCTTTTCTCGTGGTCTGCTTGCTGACCACCATGAGCTGGGCTGCTTTGCTCCACCTCACTCTTCCACTCTGCAGTGTTTACCTTGGAGCCAGCCCACCATGGACGGAACCCTCCAAAGCTGTGAACCAGACAACCTTCCCTCCTGTAAGTAGCCTACGCTGGGTATTTTGTTCAGCAATGGCAAAGCTAACACACCAACCCAGCTCAAATCCTAACTCCACCAGCTCTAGCTCTAAGAGCTGGGTAGATTACTTCTCTGAAGAGTCTACTCATCTGTAAAATGGGGGTCATGTATCTGCCTCTCAGGGTGGTAACAGGAAGTAAATCAGCCAGCCTGGGCAGAAACATGCCCATGCCTGGTAAAATGCTGAATGTTCCTTAGTGGAATGGCGGCAGCGTAAAGCCAACTAAAAATCTCCCAATCTGCACCTTGGGAATTCAACCACATAGTTCATTTTTTTTTAATATTTCTTTTCTGATTTTTAAAATAGATATACTTATTGAAAAACTCAGAAAGTACACACACAAAATAGTCAAGAACTAAAATTATCCTTAGTCTCACTACTCAGAATTACCATATAGTATACTTCCCAGTATTTTTCAACACATAGAATCTTTGTTGCTTTCTTCTACAAAGTGGGAATCAAAACAAGAACCAGGGCTGGAGAGATAGCTCAGCGGCACAAGCGCCTGCCTGGCAAGTGATTCCCAGTCCCCGAGTTTGATTCCCAGTCCAAAAAAAAGAAGAAAAACAAGAAGCATGTTCTATTAAGTAAAGCTTACCTCTTGAGTACTTTCCAAAATCATTAAAATTGATGCACCATGTCCATCTCACGGCTTAGTCATGAATTAAGTATCTCTCTATTGTTAGATGTTTAAATTGTTTCCATTTTTGTATTCATACATAACACTACAATTAATGTCTTAGCCTATCAATATTCATGTCCATATCTGATGGAGCCAGTTTTAGAACAAACCTTTAAAAGTAAAATGACTGAGTTAACAACCATTAATATTTATAAGTCTGTTGACATGGCACTAAACTGGCTTCCAGGAAGTTTGTATCGATTTTCTGTCCCTCATCCTTGTAGGATAATGCCCATCTCATTATAGCCATGACAACATGGAATATTACCATTTTTACTCTTTCATAGCATTCACGAAACATAGGTCCCAATTGGTAAGGAGAATATTTAAGACAAGTTACTTGTTCTTCCAGCAGGAAGTTTATCTCCTTTCTTCTTCTGTGTTTCATAATTAGTCAGTCTTAAAAATGTGGCCCAAACACAAGATAAGGGCTTCCCTTCCTGAAACTTGTTCAGGCTCTGGAAGGATTTCTGTGTTTAGTGAAACAACCTCATCCCTCCTATCTAATTACTGGAACACAGAAAGCAATGTGTCAGATCTCAACAAGCTGCAGTAATGCCCCAGGCCTAGTTTCACACATTACAACTTGCCATCCGTTTGGCCCTTAGCTCACATAAAGAATTACGAGAGCTTCTCGCCTTCTTTTTGCGGAGTGTCCTGTCTGCCCGCCACGAAAGTCAAATCCCTTCTTCTCTCCTGACACAGCCAAGGCAGCAAAGCCTGCCAGTGGCCGTGAGTTTAATTTACCTTCCTCATAAGTGCTTCTGGGTACTTGGGGCACGAGAGCCCTGCCTCGCATGGACGGGGTGCTAGGTTCAAGCCCCAGCCCTGCGAGAGAGGAGAAGCTGGTGGAGAGTGAGCTGTACCTTTGCCAGGACTGGCGGGTAAGGAAAGCCAGCAGGAAGCCCGAGACGTGACCGATCAGAGGGAAGACGAAACTTATGGTCAGAAAGTTGGTATCTGAATTCCAGAACTCCTTTGACAGCACCACACCGGCGACGGTGACCACCAGCAGGAGGAGCCCACCGGCAACGGCCCCGATCTAAAGCAAATCGGTAAGACAAGCACAGGTGAGCATCTTGGGGTTCTTTGACGGGGATGCAAAATCCATCAGGCCCGGTGAGGCTCTGAACCTAGAAATGGTAGAACAGTGAGAGAGCTTTGAGAACACTGCATCCCATTTCATTTTATAGTTACACAGGGGCGTTCCCCAGGGGACCCCAGGGGGTGGCGGTACCCACCAACAGCACTGCATCCAAGTCTATATACACATCCCTGTACACACAATGATAAAGCTTCATTTATAAATTCGACACCATAAACGATGAACAGCTACTAACAGAATAGAACAAATAAGCTTGCTGTCTCCTGACCATGGGACAAAATCTCTGTAGGCACCGTAGGTAGCAAATCTAACACAGGCAGTGAAAAGAGAAGTCCTGGGCGAGCCCAGGCTGGCAAACACGAGTGTGAAGACCCACGACTGTTCTACCACTTTCCGAGGGTGAGTAGGGCACCCGAGCGAGTGAAGGCCGCGCAAAGGCTTGCGGCTGTCTCGAGACCTGGAGCTGCACCTGTGTTATCACCGCGTCTGTGTTCTGGAAATGACGCGTAGTGGGTGACTCACAGCAGGGCAGGGTGAGGCAGGACAGCCCACGATTTCCTCACACTACTTGTAAGGAACCGACCGCGTTCGGTGGGAAAAACAGGAGTTGTTTATTTCTGGGATTTTCCATCAAACTTTTATTTTTAGACTGTCGGCCACGGCAGATGACCGAACCCGCAGAAATCAAAGCCGTGGGCTGGGGAGACGACAGCACGGAGGAACGCCTTGCGTCCAAGAGGGCAGGTGACTCGGCTGCGTTAGGAACCGGTGAGGTTTGGCACAAACCCGTGGCTCCTTATTTTATGATCCGTATCTTTTCCCACAAAGGATCTGGCTGGAAGGATTAGGTAGCAGAGTTTCTTGTGGCTAGGAGAAAATTATGAAAGAAGTGGAATCTGACAATAAGGATCTGTCTAATGTGATAAGAAAATAGCTAAGGAGTATTTATACAGAAAAGAGGTTCGGATAGCCACAGTTCTGCAATCCAGGACCATCCGCTCAGCTCCGGCAGGAGCGTGTGCAAGGGTGGGGGTGGGGAGGCAGAGAGGTGTTCGGGGCACGGGGCTTCGTCTCATAACAACCCGTTCCCACAGGATCTCCTCCAGCCCAAGACCGGCATGAATCCCTTCCAGGGGAGGTGCGCCCATGGCCTAATACCCGCCCTCTAAGCGTCACCTCTTGGAGCTGCCACTGCACCGCTCACGGGGGACAAGCACATCCAGCCTTCACAGAGTCCACCAGCCCTTCACACCGGAGCGCCCCTCATAGCCTGTCTGTGGCCTGCCCTGCACCCCCTCACCTCCCACCACCAACAGCTTGCAGCGCTTTGACCCTTACCCTCCCGTTCCTCAGATGAAATCTCCCACTTGACATTAGCCTGAGCTACTGTGCATGGAAAGCAGAAATACCCCTGTCTTCTTCTGTATGAACACCCGCCCGCTACCTCTTCCGCAGCGCTGGGGCTCGAACCCAGGGCATTCACACTGAGCTCTGTCCCCGCCCCCTTTTATTCTGAGATGTCATCTCCCTGACTAGGTCATGAAGTTCCCAGACTGGGTTGAACTTGTGGTCCTCAACCCCTTATTTTGTTTCTTTACCAAAAATTAGAAGTTCAACAATCATTCTAACAGTTTGCGTTTTCCACCCGACAGAAAGGAAACGTGGCCTAGGACGTTTGGGACAGCGGGCTCTTGGCTCCCACCGCCGCATCCCAGTCCCACATGGACAGCGCGCCATGCGCCTGCTCACCACGCCCACCCTGACCTGCATGATTCCGGGTGAGCAGGGCTGGCCGAACATTACAAACAAAAAGCAAACAAAGCACCTGCAGTGCCATGGATGTGCCCAGGGTATTTCTACCACTCAAATCCAGGGACACCGGGGACACCCGTGACCTGAAGATGCTCGGAGAAGGTCTGCAACTGTAAAATCCCTTTTCCCTCCATCAGAAGGGGATTTCAACATTTCAGATCTACCAGGAGCAAAGGAGGAAAAGCGAGGTTGTTCAGAAAATATGTGATGCCTAAAATTAACAAAGACCAAGAAGCACGAAGCATGCAGATGTGCTGAAATAGTAACGATCAAGCCAACTTACAGTTCGCCAGGGGACTTCTGCAGATCAGGAAGTATGTCTTGCCACAACTGCCAGAGAATTGCCCAGGGGAAACATGTTTTAAACCTGCTCTTTACAGATAATAAAATTGTCACCCATGAGATTTCTTTTGTTTCTCTGCTGACAGTGATGGTCTAGTAGAGGCTATAGAAACACCAACCTTGGTGGTGGTGGTGTTAGTTGTAAGAAAAGTATATGCATGACCATGTTTATAGCAGCACAACTCATCAAAGGTAAATCTTGGAAGCCGTCTGTATGTCCACCAACAGATAAATGCGTAAAGTGTCACATTGATCCCAATGAAATGCTACTCTGCCATAAAGAAAGATAAACGTGGGTCATTTGTAGGAAAAGGGAGACAGACACCTTGAGATCAGAGTGTTCAGGGAAATAAATCAGACACACGGGCTTAAATACTGCATGGTTTTCCTTATAGGAGAAACCCAAAATAAATTAATTAAAAAGTAAAATAAAAGGCAGATAAAAGGAAACAAGGAGATAGATTTTTTGTAAAAGGTAAGGGGGACAAGAGGTGGGGCAGGCTGGAAAGGAAGGGACATAAAAAGAATTAAGTTGTGTCATGTACGTGTACCAACTGCCCACAACGAACGTCAACTTCATGTCTTGCAAACTTACACTAATAAAAAAATTAAAACAGGGGCTGGGGATCTAGCTCAGCAGAACAAGTGCCTGCCTGGCAAGTGCAAGATCCCAAGTTTGATTCCCAGCACCAAAAAAAAATAATAATAATAATAATGATAATAATAATAATAATAAAAACTGAAAAAAAGTAATCAAAAATAGAGAATTTAAAATGTAGGACATAAGGCCGGG